CTGAGTTTGCTGGGTGGAAGCTGAGAGGAGAGTGAGCACAGCCCAACTCAGCCCCAAGGCTCCTACCTCTAACAGCACTAATGAAGTTGGGGAGAATCTAACTCTCCTCTTTCTTGGTGTGCTTCCTTCCCCAGGTCCTACAGAGGAACCACCTCCCAGTGTGCCCCAGCCTCCCCCAGAGCCACCAGCTGGGCCCCCAGCCCCAACCTCCCGTTCTGACCAGCGACCCTCTTCTCCTATTCCCCTTCTTCCCCCACCTAAGAAACGCCGGAAAACTGTCTCCTTCTCTGCTGTGGAGGAGGTGCCTGCCCCAGAGCCTCCCCCAGCTGCCCCACCACAAGCCAAGTCTCCTGGCCCGATCTCTCGCAAAGTCCCCCGGGGCGTAGAGCGGACCATTCGCAACCTGCCCCTGGACCATGCATCTCTGGTCAAGAGTTGGCCCGAGGAGGTGTCCCGAGGGGGTCGGAGCCGGGCTGGAGGCCGAGGTCGCTCCACTGAGGAAGAAGAGGGTGAGCCAGGGACAGAAGTGGACCTGGCAGTACTAGCTGACCTGGCCTTGACCCCAGCCCGGCGTGGGCTGGCCACCCTGCCTACTGGCGACGATTCAGAGGCCACAGAGACCTCAGATGAGGCAGACCGCCCCAGTCCCCTGCTCAGCCACATCCTCCTGGAGCACAACTATGCCCTGGCCATCAAGCCCACACCTTCCACACCGGCCCCCCGGCCTCCGGAGCCAGTTCCTGCCCCTGCAGCTCTCTTCAGTTCCCCAGTGGATGAGGTCCTAGAGGCCCCTGAGGTGGTGGTGGCTGAGGCAGAGGAGCCAAAGCAGCAGCAACTGCAACAGCAGCCAGAGGATGGGGAGGAGGAGGAGGAGGAAGAAGAGGAGGAATCCGAGTCCTCAGAGAGCAGCAGCAGCAGCAGTAGCAGTGATGGTGAGGGGGCTGTCCGACGGCGCAGCCTCCGCTCTCACACCCGGCGCCGGAGACCACCGCTCCCACCCCCACCTCCACCACCCCCCTCCTTTGAGCCCCGCAGCGAGTTTGAGCAGATGACCATTCTGTATGACATTTGGAACTCGGGCCTAGACTTAGAAGACATGAGCTACCTGCGGCTCACATATGAGCGGCTACTGCAACAGACCAGCGGAGCTGACTGGCTTAACGACACCCACTGGGTCCATCACACAAATATCCTGAGCCATAGGGTTCGGCCTGTCTATGCAAGATAGGAAGACACAGGCCTTGGGTGGGGAGGGCCTTCCCTGGGGTCACAGCCCCAGGCAGTGTCTTCTTCAGATCCCTCCTTGTGCTACATTGATTTCCCTCCCTGTCTGTTCAATTCACTCTGCCATGTTCAGCCTGGGGGTTTCTCCTCTGGCTGCCCAGCCATCTTTTCTCTCTGCCTCATACTTCTTTTCTGCCTCCCAAAGTTTTTCTGGCAGAAAAGGTGGAGTCCAAGACTGACTTCTGTCATCTGCTGTCCCTTCACACCTAATATGCCCACCAGCTCAGACCGGCCGCCCTTTCCTTGGGCTGGGACTGGGGTGGATGGAGAGGAGCAGGCTCCAGGGATCTGGCCAATGAGGGACCCATTCTCTTCCTTAACACCCTGCACTCACCAACCTGAGCACTCCAAAGCGCAAGCGCCGGCCCCAGGATGGGCCCCGAGAGCACCAGACAGGCTCGGCACGCAGTGAAGGTTATTACCCCATCAGCAAGAAGGAGAAGGACAAATACCTGGATGTGTGCCCCGTCTCAGCCCGGCAGCTGGAAGGAGTGGACACTCAGGTGGGGCCCTGCCTTCTGGCCTACTCTCTCCTCTCACCATCTTCCCATTGCTTACTTCCTTCTGTCCTCCTTGCAGGGGACTAACCGTGTGCTTTCGGAGCGCCGGTCTGAGCAGCGGCGGTTGCTAAGTGCCATTGGCACCTCAGCCATCATGGATAGTGATCTGCTAAAGTTAAACCAGCTCAAGGTGAGGAATGGGGACCTGGGAAGGGAAGAGGCTCAGTGAAAAGCAAGGTGAGCTACCCTGGTAGGATCCTGTGTTTGGGTTGTGAGGGGAATGAAATGTTCTCCATTCTGGGAGGTCTGCAGGAAAGGTGAGGAGCTTGGTCTTGAGAGGCATGCAGCAGTAGAATCTATCTTCTGCCCCCTAGTTCCGAAAGAAGAAACTTCGATTTGGCCGGAGCCGGATCCACGAGTGGGGTCTGTTTGCCATGGAACCCATTGCAGCTGATGAGATGGTCATTGAATACGTGGGTCAGAACATCCGCCAGGTGAGGCTCCACATCCAGCACCAGGCTCAGCTTCTGATCTGACATACCAGACAGACAGCACAGAATTTCCCAGGAGTTCCATTTGACCCTCTGGGCAAAGCCTTACTTACCCTCCCAGCTCCAAGAGTTAGCCAGTGAAAACCTGTGTCCTTCATCCTTCATTAGTAATATGCAATAGTAAACAATATTAGTGGTCCAGCAGGAAACAGGACTAGTAGTGTCTTTCCCTTTAAGGAAGTGGGGTGCCGGGCACAGTGGCATGTGCCTGTAATCCCAGCAACTCCGGAGGCTAAGGCAGGAGGATCACAAGTTTGAGGCCAACCTCGTCAACTTAAGCAACTTAGTGAGACCCTACCTCAAAAACTTTTTAAAAAGGTTGAGGATGTAGCCCAGTGGTAAAGTACCTCTGGGTTTAATTCCCATTACCAAAACAAAAAAAGGAAGTGGGGAATATTGGATAATTGATGACACTTAAGGGTAGTGTTTGATATTAAAGGGAAAGTTTAGGGAGACAGGAGCAGTGTGAGCACATACAACAGGGTCTAAGACCATCAAGAAATAGTGTGTTTAAGTTGGGAGCCTAAAGACAAGGAGGAACTCCCAGGTCCAGGTGAGAAGTGTGTGAAAGCCTGGAGGTAGGGTAGTCTTAGCTAAGAGTGGGAGATCAGAATGGCTAGTCAGAAAAACTAGGGCCAGTGGCAGATGAGAGTTTGGAGGGGAGGGGCATGTGGAGCCCAGATTTTCCATAGCTGGGAAGCAATATTAGTAAGTATGGGCCTCTAGTGAGAGGGAATCTCTGAAAAGCTAAGCAGAAGAGGTCCTTGGAGGGTAGGAAGCTCCCTCTAGTTGTGCTGGGAAGAGAGAACTAGTCTAGGCTGACACCAGTGGTGCTGTCATAGATCAAGCCAAGGTGAAGGTGGCCTGGACTGGAGACCAGGCAGTGAGCTGACTGTGGAGAGTGAGGACAAAGGAGGAGGTGAGGCTCTTTCTTGGGGTGCTACCATTAGCTGTTATGACTCTGATGGGGCCCCAGTGTAATGGGAGTGAGCCGGAGGAGCAGATGTGTGATCAAGATGAGTTCCAATTAGGACATATGATGTTGCAGGGCCCCAGGGAAATCTAAAGATGACGCCCAGGAATTCTACTGAGGTGGATTTTGGCTGGAGATAGGAGTTTGGGAGGAGTCCCCACTACTTAGCTGACAGCAGAAGCTCTGGGAGGGAGTGAGATCACCCAAGGAGAAAGTGCAGACAGCTCATTGTCCTGTTTACTGGGATATAAGAGTTGCTGCTTCTCATACAAGACATGGGTCCTTACAGGTGACCTGCCATTTGCATTGGTCATCTAGGCCAACAGATGCCTGTTTTGGAGAGTGGGTCCTAGGAGAAGAGATGAAGTGGCCACTGCCAGTGCAGATTTCTCTGGAGTCCTCTTGTTGGCGACTTAGTAAAAAAGACAGAGGATTAGGATGGGTGGCCAAAGAGGCAGGCTGGGTTTCTAGAAGCAGTCAATTTGGGGGTTGAGATCTAGGCCTAGTTGGTATGGACACTGGAGTGATAGCTGGCAGATTATCCAGAGGGGCTGGTAGGACCAGACTTGGTCCATCTGGAAGCTGAGAGGCCATGCTATGACCTTTTCTGTCCTATATTGCCAGATGGTGGCTGACATGCGGGAGAAGCGCTATGTACAGGAGGGTATCGGCAGCAGCTACCTGTTCCGGGTGGACCACGACACCATCATTGATGCTACCAAGTGTGGCAACCTGGCGAGGTTCATCAACCACTGCTGCACGGTGCGCTGGGAGCTAGGTGGAGGGATGGGAGGGATGTGGACGGGGGCACAACTCACACTGTCCTCCCCCCCTGTAGCCCAACTGCTATGCCAAGGTGATCACCATTGAGTCACAGAAGAAGATCGTGATTTACTCCAAGCAGCCCATTGGCGTGGATGAGGAGATCACCTATGACTATAAGTTCCCGCTGGAGGACAACAAGATCCCGTGTCTATGCGGCACTGAGAGCTGCCGTGGCTCCCTCAACTGAGGTGGGGCAGGACTGGTGCCCACACCCCTATTTATTCCCCCTTGGTGCCCTGAGCTCCCAGCACCCCCCCAGCCTTAGTGGGTTCAGCAGGGCCCACATGCCCCCATCTCCAAGTGTGGGGTTGGGAGCTCCAAGCCCAGCGAGGGAGCCTCAGTCCCTTGACGAGGCAGCTTCTGCCTCCCCTGTTACCCCTGCCCACCCACCTCTTAATTTTTTTCTTTGCGGAGAAGAAGCTGTAAATGTTTTGTAGCTGCCAGCAGCTGTTTCCTGTGGAAACCTGGGGTGCCGGCTTGTACAGATCCTGTTCTTGGGGGGTTGCACAGCCCTCTTGCTTTGTGTTAATGGGGATTTCCCCTTGTGCCCTGTGTGCACCCCTCCCCAGTTCAGGGGTCTCTAGGGGCAGTGGCCATGTTCTCCCCCTGGGGGGGCCCTGCGCCCCCAGTCCTGGGGACTCCGTGCCTGGAACCCTGCCTCATCTTCTGTTCCTGCCAGACCCTTTGGGTCACCCTCCCACCCTGGTGTCTGGAGGCTTTGGCTCAGCCAGGCCAGGATGGTGGGGGTGGGCCCTTCTTGTTGGGCTGGATTGTATATATGTTAATAGCGCAAACCCAAGGCCACATTTTTATAATTGTGATTAAACTTTATTGTACAAAAGTGCTTGGTCAGTATCTTTGGGGGAGAGCAGACTGGGATGGGGGTTGAGGAGACATGGATGGGGCAAGATGAAGAGAGGGAAAGGGTGGTCTGAAGTATGGGGTGGCTAGAGGGCTTTCAGGCAAGAGCCCAGACCTGCAGACCCAGCTGCCATTGCTTTGGATCACCAGACAGGCTGACACAGCCATGCCAGGAATCCCCCACTGAGGCCAACAGTTGGGCCAAGGTCAGGCCTCCCTTTCCTTCCCAGAACCACAGCTGCTGCTGGGCCTCTGGGCTCCTGGGAGATCCAGCAGGAGGGAAGGACTGAGGTCATGCAGTGGGAATGAGGTCACCCTGCTGCTTTGATCCTATGGGCCCCCAAATCCCTCAGCACCCACCCAGCAGGTTCTGGCTTGTCCATCCTCTCTCCCCAAGTACTTCGCTGTAACCAGATGCCGGTGGAGTGCTGAGTGACCACCAGGTGGCACCCTGTGGCAAGAGAGTGAGGGGCAGAGGAGTTGGAGGCTGGGCTAGCCTCCGTTCCTGGAATAGGCCAGGAGGGAGGAGAAGCGAGCGGAAGGAAGACGGTGTGTGGCTGGCCAGCCAGCCCAGGAGACCGCCTCCCCAGTGGCCAGTTTGGGCGCCCTGGGACAGTGGCTGCAGGTAGGCAGAGGTGATACCAGGGTTCAGGCAGCCTTTCCCTGGTTTGAGCCCTTCCCTTGGTCCTGGGCTTTCCCACCTTCCTATACTTTCTCCTTTCCTCCCCTTCCCACAATGCCCTGTCTCCCCACCCTTCTTTTTTGTCCCCAAACCTCTCCCCATCCACCTCAATCCCTTACCCTTTCTGTGTCCCAGGCCCTTACTCTTTTAGTAACTCAGCAGTTAACAGGATCAGAGGGCAGGTAGCCTGGCTGCTACCCCCACCACTGCAGCCTCCAGGAGCAGCTCTGCCTCCCCACCCTCTGTCATGGAGCTCTGGTTCACTAGGGTGCCAGGCCCCTTCTAAGAGTAATGAATAACCGGGGCAGGTAGCAGCAGGCAACTCAGATGAGCCAAGGTTTCTCCCCACAGCTGGGCATGGCAGAATCTGCACAGGCCCCGAAGCTGGTGTACCTGGTCACAGGTGGCTGTGGCTTCCTGGGGGAGCATGTGGTGCGAATGCTGCTGGAGCGGGAGCCGAGGCTCCAGGAGCTGCGGATCTTTGACCTGCACCTGAGTCCCTGGATAGAAGAGCTGAAGACAGGTGACTACAAGGGGAGGATGTCTTGAAGAGGGTATGGTCTCCCCCATTCCCTCCCAAACCAGGATACTCCCCTGCTTGGTGGAAAAGATGATGCCTGCTATGCTGTTTGGTCCACACGGATGGGATGAATGAGTCACTTGGAACATGTGGCTCCCAAGGGTGTAGGCTTAACCAAGCAGCTGGCTGATGACCTCGAATCTGACATTGCCTCTGGCCTCCCCGGCTTTTCCACCAGGGCCCGTGCAGGTGACTGCCATCCAGGGGGATGTGACGCAGGCCCAGGAGGTGGCAGCAGCTGTGGCTGGAGCCCATGTGGTCATCCATACAGCTGGGCTGGTGGATGTATTTGGAAGGGCCAGTCCAGAGACCATCCACAAGGTCAACGTGCGGGGTGAGGTGCTCCCCACCTACTCTAATCTTGCATAGGACACTCCCTGGCACATGGCTTGATCTTACCTCTCTGTTCCCCCACCCCATTTGACCTTGACCTCCTTTGATTCTCATGTGACAACCTATACTATTGAAAGCCCTGCCCCTGTGTGATCATTGTTCATCCTGTCCATCCTCACTCCACCTGTTCTGGTTCTCCCTGGACCTGGGGTGGGCAGGGGAAAGATGCAGAGAGGAAGGAAGCCTCAGCTTGGATCCATCTTCTTCCTCCCCAGGCACACAGAATGTGATCGAGGCTTGTGTACAGACTGGAACTCAGTTCCTGGTGTACACAAGCAGCATGGAAGTTGTGGGACCTAACATCAAAGGACACCCCTTTTACAGGTGAGCTAAGATCCCCCATTACTTAAAGAGTCCACTTCCTTAAGCATTGAGTCTTCCTTTTACCCTCACTAGGGGCAATGAGGACACCCCATATGAGGCAGTACACAAGCATCCCTATCCTTGCAGCAAAGCCCTAGCTGAGCGCCTGGTCCTGGAGGCCAATGGAAGGAAGGTAAGCCAAAAGACAGAGATGGGCGTTGGGGGTGCAGCTAGGCCAGGTCAGCCAGGCCTGACTTGCAGGCTGCTTTGCATTCTGCCCTGTGGGCCTCTTATCTCTAGCCTGAGGAGGCTAGTACAAAGGGGAAGCTGCTAGGTCCCAGGTCCTAACAGTGTTTGTCATTTGGCTTTTGCCATCAGGTCCGAGGGGGGCTGCCTCTGGTGACTTGTGCCCTGCGTCCCACCGGTATCTATGGTGAAGGCCATCAGATCATGAGAGATTTCTACCGCCAGGGTCTGCGCCTTGGGGGTCGGCTCTTCCGGGCCATCCCAGCCTCTGTGGAGCATGGTCGGGTCTATGTGGGTAAGGACGGGGCTAAGCAGGGGGAGACCAAGAACAGGGCAGAAGAACCTGCTTTGAAAGTGGGTGGGACCCATGTGGTTCTGGGAGGGGCAGTCTGTGCTCTGACTGGAAAAGGATGGTCTGTTCACAGGTGCAGGTAGATGATGATTATGTAGGCATTGTCTGCATGGACCACAAAGGAAACAGTATCCCTGCTATTAGGGAATGCTGACATAAAAAGCTATAGGCTGAGAAGATTGCAGGCATGGAAGCAGCAGTTCCCCAGGAAAGAGAGGGGTAGCATGTACACAGACCAACTCAAGAGAGCAGTGGCCTCAGGATCTGGGGAAAAAGCAGCCATTCCTAGGCTGTGGTAGAGATATGGGCAGCATCTAAATGGGTCCAAATAAGGGGTGGCTTGTGCATAAGCTGGTCCAGAAAAGCAGCATCTTACGTGATTGCAAGAGCCCTTGGAGGCATAGCCACTTCCCCTCACTGGCAGGCAATGTGGCCTGGATGCATGTGCTGGTGGCCCGGGAGCTGGAGCAGCAGGCAGCACTCATAGGCGGCCAAGTGTACTTCTGCTATGACAAGTCACCCTATAAGAGCTATGAAGACTTCAACATGGAGTTCCTGGGCCCCTGTGGATTGCGTCTGGTGGGCACCCGCCCACTGCTGCCCTACTGGCTGCTAGTGCTTCTAGCTGCCCTCAATGCCCTGCTGCAATGGTTGCTGCGCCCACTGGTACTCTACGCACCCCTGCTGAACCCCTACACACTGGCTGTGGCCAACACTACCTTCACTGTCAGCACCAACAAGGCACAGCGCCATTTTGGCTATGAGCCCCTGTTCTCATGGGAGGACAGCAGAACCCGCACCATTCTCTGGGTGCAGGCCATGGAAGGTACAGCCCAGTGATGGTGGGGCTGGGGCCTGGGGCCATCATGGCCTCGAGCCCTCACACCCTGGATGGGATGGAATGGCTGGATTTCAGAGCTGAAAGCTCTGGTGCCATCTAGCTATCCCAGAGCCCTCCACATTTTATGGCCACAAACTCTTGAGTCTGGATTGTGTTCTTATGCTTGGTTCCAAGTTCCAGGGCAGGGTTTTCTTCACTCTCAACCCAGGCCTGCTGGATGTTTAGCAAAAAACTGATTTCCAGATGTTCTCACTATGCCATCCTACTTCTGATTCTCAAGCATGAAGTGGCCAAGGTTCTAAAGACTGACACCCAAGTACCTCTGGACTAGGTTCAGATTGAAGAGACTTCTCTGGTTTCTCCCTCCACCTCTGTCCTCAGGGCATTATCTTCCCATTATTTAAAATGATATATCACCTTTAGACATTTTCTTAATTCCCCTCAATGAAAGCTGAGAAAATCAGTGTTTTTTCACTTCTTATCCCTCCTCCCAAATCGAGATCCTGCAATATTATTAGCTCTTTGCCTGAGGATGTCTCAGTAATGCTGTACCTTGCCAAGCCCTGTATTAAAATCCTTTTCCAAGCCTGTGTCACCAGTCTGTCCAGCAACTCTGCCACCCACTACCCCAACAAGTTTCCCCTCCCCACGGCGCCAGTCCCATATGGGGACAGAAGGAAGTGAGCACACAGCACGCCCGCTGTTGGATTGGTTGCTATTTCTCCCGTCCCACGGGGCCCGACCCGGCCCGGGAGGGGGGTTGGGGGGCTCTGGGGACAGGACATGCAGGGCTGGGGGGTAGAATTTCCTGTATTTTATCCATTTGCAACTTGGTCACCAATAGAGAGAAATGAGACTGAGGGCTAACAGGAGAGGGTAGCCTGGCTCTGGGCCCCCAGCCAGGCCCCAAGAGTCCTGTCCCCTCTAGAGAGGGAAGGGAGAGAGCTCTAGAAACCAACGGAGAAACAGAGAAGGGGGCAGGGGCTCATGTCAGCAAACACAGCTACATCACGTGACACGCCAGCGACACAGAAACACACGCCAACGCACACAGCTGCACAGCGGGCAGGGGGCAGGTGGGAGAGAAGGGAGCCGGGGGCCACCCATCTTGTCCTCTGCGGGGCGGGCTGGGGGGGCAAGGTAAATGCATAGAACACATCATGTGTACACGCTCAAGGCGTGGCATGAGCGTGCGACGACCCACGGGCACATGGGATGGACACGCAGTGTGCTTCATGAGAGGCCGGGATGGGGAATAAGGGAGGGAAAGCATTGAGCCCTGGCCAGGCCTGGGACCACCCACGGGGCACATGGCTTGATGGTTGTAGATGCACGGAGTGTGGGCAGCACACACTTGTCTTGAGAACATGCAAAAAATTCCAACCCCTAGACAACACTCGGACACACATAGACGGCAGCCAACAAGCAAACCTATCATATAATGTGTGGGACTTTTAGAAAGCTAGGGCACAGCAGAACCTCAGGGATCCCCTGGTCCACCTAAGGCCCGGAGATGGGCAGCTGTGAGCCTAATGCTATTCAAAGAGGCAGGAGCAGCACTCCAGCCTCAGCTCCACCCTTCTGGTAAACTTCAAAGCTTTGGGGCTTCTGGAAACACCTGGGCTGAAAGGGGGTCCTGACTGGGAAGCAGGAAGGAAGAAGGGGGCTGGATGTTGGGATCAGCTCTGACATCTCCATAGAAGCCTGGGATGGGAGCAGGAGGGCTGCAGTCAGACTCCAGGCAGACTTCCTGTCCTGTAGAAGGGCATTCTGGGAATGGACAAGCAAGCTCCCTTCCTCAGGACAGCTGATCTGGGGTTTACATACATGAGGCCATATTGACACAGACACACCCAGGATGGGCAGAACCTAAACAGTGAGGTAGGGAAGAGGTTGGCTGTCTGAGTTGTGGGGGGCTGAGAAGGATGTGTTCTGGGAGGTCACATTTGCATGGGCTCTCATACAAACACGCAAACATACACACTTTGCAGTCTACATGCATAAACCAGAGTCCTTCAGCTAGTACACAGGTATGCCCCACCCCAGGGCAGGGCAGATTCATGTACTTTGTATGTTCAGCCTATTTGTTCCTGGGCCATTGGGAGGGGGTGGGTTTCCAACACTGTCCTTTCCCCCATCTACCCTCTACTATCACCAAATACAAAACCCACCAACTATGCATATGCTGTCTACACCAAAAAGAAGAAATTAACCCTTTCCTCACCATCAGAAAACCAAGTCTACATCCCTCAATCTCACCCCTGGTGTGGGGAATGGCCATTGACGATACTTCAGCAGGAGAGGTGGGGATTTGGCCCAGGACTTAACCCACACTGGCCACTCCAGTAAATCTGAAATCAACAGTTGCCCAAACCCAAGTTTCCTGAGGAAGAGCCCGGAGCATAGGATAGGATAGTGAGGACAAATGCTTCTCCCAGGTTCAAGGGGAGTGTGGAAGAGGCAGGAAGGGTCAATGCCCTGATTTTCCATCTGACTGAGGTCAGCTCTTGACATCTCACCTCATCAGTAACATCCCTACAAATGTCTTTCTGGGAGGCATTTGTGTAAAAATGGGTACAGACCTGAAGGAACACCATGCCAACATTAGCATGCATGGGTGCCCCATTATACATGTTGTGCCTGGGTGTGGCTACCTTCCTGGGACCTCCTCAGCCTTGATACGTGTGAGTACATTGAGCTGTCACAGATTCAGGCCTGTCCCTGGGCAGAGACACAGAGAAAGATAAGGATCTGGGTATGTGTGCACAGGGGCCCTGAGGTTGGGCAGGGCAATGTGGATATAGCAGTGTGTGCAGCCACATTGGTCAACAGCTCTGCAGAGAGGGAGGGGGACAAATAAATCTGGATAAACAAACCAGAATAGGGCACATGTCCTTAAAAACGAACAAGCGTATGTGTGTGTACACAGGGGACAGAAACACACTATGTAGAAAGCCCCTAAACAGACATGCATGCACACACACACACACACACACACACACACACACACCCTCACATACTGTATTCCAGGTAGCATAGAAATATAGATATCTGTACCCACCCAAAAAGGTGTCCAGTCCATGATGTGGAGGGCTCTAAGAAAACTTATCAATACTTCAGACAAGACAGATGTACTCACACGCATACACAAGTACCTTCTATCACCTATAGGGGAAAATGCGTGTCTATGTAGGCCAAGCTAGGTCATTTACAAGTATATACTTTCATTCAACTCTGGGATCTCCAAAGCCCACAACACACACACACACACACACACACACACACACACA